GGCCTGGCTCCCTCCAAAAAAGCCAGCCACTCCTAACCCTTGCTGCTACCTGACAATAACGGAAACACTCAAACCTTGTAGGACTGTGATCAGCGGTAAGAAACAGGAAGACAAAAACAGTTGAGAAGACATTCTTTACATGAGGCTGAACTTTCAAGTGCCAAGTAATAGTAAGCACTTAGAACTAAGGCATTCTTAAAAAGAGACAAAACCACCCCAAACTGTTACATTGTGAAAAATAAGGACATGGAAAATAAAGCTTAATTTTACAAAGTTTCACTGAATTGGCTTCATGTGACTCCATTTGGAATTTGCCATTTTTCTCTTTTTTCCTTTCTGCTATAGGTCACATGCATTCACTAGAGGGAGGAAGAAAGAGAGAGGGAAAGGAGCAAGCACTCCACAACCCCCCTGCCCCCCCCCAAAAACAAACAGGACGGCCACAATGTGATCCTTTTCCCTCCATCTCTCCCTTCTTCTGGGATTTTTGGAACACAAGCACAAATGCCCAATGCATCTCTCAAGCTACCAGGTCTGGGACTCAAACAGCAAGGCCATGCATGTGGGATCTGGCTGCCTTAACCACTAGGCCATGGAGTCAGCCCTCTGGTTATATGTTGATACTGCTGTTTAACACACTACTTCATGCTGCTCTGTGGAGAGCACACAGTCATGCCCATCACTGTGCACGCTCCCATCTGGAATTGTCTGCCAATAATGCACAATGCCAAGCTCTGGTTAATTTACCTGGAGGTTCTGCACCTGGCTGCTCAAGGCCGCCAATGATAACACCGCAGGCTTGCTGTGTTCCATGCAGTACCAAAATCGGATTGTCATCATGTTTACTTCTTCATAGAGTCTATCATAGATCTTCCACTCTTGTAAAACTGACTGCATGGAGGTTTTAAGCTGATTGACCTACACAAAAAGTGAAAGCATATAGGTTTAAAAAGTCATTGCAAAGACATGCTCTTTCATCGTGTTTTATTTGCTTTTTGTTGTCTTGTTTTCCTTTAAAGAAATCTAACTTGTATCCAATTTGGGCATTTCGGTTTCAGAGTATTGGAGGATCTGCAGTGCTTAACTGAAGGTGAGACAGGAAGGTTAATGAATAACAACAACAACAACAACAAATCAGAGAAGGCTACTTAGACTGGGATATGGAAAAGAGCCCTAAGAGCAGAAGGATGAGCACCAAGAGAGGTCAGCTTAGGGAGCCTGCTCAGGGGAGGATTCCACGAGCACAAAGGCTTGTTACACTCTATTAGCTTTCTGATCTTGGCAAATGATTGGGCCTTACAGTTGGTCTTTTCATCTGTGAAACAGAGACAATAAATGAAAACATACACAAAACCAGTGTCTGTGAAAACGCTCTGAAAACTCTAAGACATGACAAATGTTTATTTTTGGACTCAATTCAATTCCATTTATCTGTATGTCTATCCTTACGATACCTCTATGTGCATGTTTTTGATGTGATTATCTTTTTCACTAAAGATTTACTTATTTAATTATTATTATTTAATTTGATCCGAGACAGACAAAAAGACAGAGACAGAAAGGGAAAATGAGAAAGCAAGCTGCCAGGTCTGGAACTTGAACCATGGTTTGGCCATGTAGGAGTCCAGTGCCTTAACCACCATACCACCTGCCAGGCCTTTTATATGATTATCTTATTTAATTCTCCCTCTATATTGTTATTATATTTTAGTTTTCTGTATTGCAATGATCTGCTCACGTGTGTTTCTTCCACCAGCCTGCAGGCTCTTTATTTATTTCATTGTTTATTTTTGTACCCTAGGCAGTGAGCATTGTGGTTTGCACAAGGTACTTTAACAAATGACTGAATAACCTCACTCCTATTTTCCTGCCAGAGTCCTGAGAGAGGAATGGGGCTGAGGGCTACTTAGGGATTTCATTCATTTCATAAGCTATTCCCAATTTTCTCTTGGAACAAAAGGGTGACAGTAGATTTTAATAGAGGACAAATAACCCACAATAAAGATTCTCTAGAGAACATGGACATGTCTGTAGCTGGTCAGAATTTAGTTCTCTCCCTCCATTGTGGGAAAATGTCAAGGTTTCCATGTCCACAGATGCCTATTCTGGTTTTTGGCCCTCTGCTCCTGGAAAAGGTCAACAGTCTGCATGCCTCTGAGAAGACGACCACATGTCTTGCACACCGTCTTCCTTTACCTCTCTTCTTTACCACCGTGCTGTTTGGTAAGTTGAAAGTTCCTAGCGTACAAAGGCTCCATGACACAGGATCGTTCCTTCCCTAAGGCATCTCCCTGTAGATGGGGAACCTGTGCTTCTTTATCGCAGTTTCTGTACATCTGGTCATAAAACAATGCCCAGGCTGGAGACAGTTATGTCTGCATGAGTACATGAGACAAAACAAAGATAACCAAGTGGGTTTCCACCTGGTCAACAATGTTGGAATTACTGACTTTGCTTCTTATGATTCAGCATACAGAAGGGGATCAGAAACACTTTTTTCTACTTCGCTTTGATATTTTTCTCCACAACTTTGCAATTTTTGGAATAAATGGAGTCTCCATGATTAAAGGACAAATAAGAAATAAAAATATGTGAAGGGAAATAACACACATCAAATGAGTTCTAGTACCTGATGGGTGACACTGCTTTGCTTCTGAAGTAACCCATCAATTCCAGATACTGTGTCTTCTAACACTGGCATCGCCCCACTCTCCAATGTCAGGGAACTTTGTCTCAACTCATCCAGTGCTTTGGATTTCATTGCAAGTTGATTCTCTATATCCTGGAAGGACGAGAAGAAAGGTTTCCAATGCACAATATGATAAAACAATCAATAAGGTGTCAGAGACAGGACTCCACTCTTTTCAAGTAAAAATGCCAGTAGAACATATAATTAAGTGGCATTCCACTAACTGTATTAATCAGGATACACTCTTCATTCAGTTATGTATTACTCAGCTATGGATTTCAGGAATGTCTAGCCAACAAGTCCCTATGTTCATGGTAGAGCAGAAAGAATCCAGGCGAGCTGGTCCCCATTCCACAGTTGCCGATCAAGTCTGAGTCATTGAGCCCGAGTCTCCACTGTCTCATGTGGAAAACGGTGATGACACCCAATCCCGTGCCCTGCATAGCTCAGAAACTAAATTGAAACCAGAAGCACAAAGGCACTTTGAAGCCTTAAAACATCATGTAAGTGACAAATAAACTGATTATTTGTGGTTCAGTCAGTACTAGCTTTAATATCTTTCTGTACCTCTTAGCCTATTAAGGCACTCCAATCTAGTCTACTCATTTTTTTAAATTAATTTTATTTATTATTATTACTTTTTAAAATTTGCTATAGGTCACTCACCAGAGAGAGAGAGAGAGAGAGAAGGGAACTGAGAAAGCAAGCTGCTAGATCCAGGACTTGATCATTGAATTGTAATCAGCGACGTGGGAGTCTAGCACCTTAACCACCACGTCACCTGCTGGCCCACTCTCTATGGATATGTTTTTAAGACACCTACAGGACCCCTCTACTAAAAAAAAAGAACATGGAGCTGGCAGAGGGAGATGGAGATGAACGAAGGCAGCAATGATGCTGCTACTTTCCGTAGAGGATGGCCGGCCAGAGCTGCTTAGTTGCCCTTCTCAGGACTGCAGTTCAACTCCAACTGGGAAAATGTTTACACTTCTTTATCTTTACTATTATCAAAGAATTACAAGAGGCATCAGAAAATATAAAAGGTCTTTGGCATTCCAAGGCATTCACTTTGAATTCCTTTCAAATCTCCACGTGTTCACACTTGGGATGCATGTGAGCACACTTTTAACATTCAACTTTGATCCAGATAAGTGTGCTCTGAATGCATGCTCTCAAGATAGACAAAACTCTGCTCAAGCTTTACTTCTCTCCTGAAGACTTTTTTCCACAAGGAATTTTAAAATTTATTCCTTCATAAGAATCACTGAATGGTCCATAAACAAAGGGGAACACGAATGCCTCGTAAGCAGGCGCTTGCTGAGCAGGTGATGGGTCTGCCCCCGGGGGGAAGATGAGCCGCACCCTCACCCCACCTGCCTGGCACTAGGCTCACAGCAAAACTGCCCAGTTACCACATCCACAGCCTCCAGGTCACTCTTGAAGTGCTGCAATCACAACTGTCAGGGGCTTCTTAGACTAAAAGGTGGAAAGAGGAGGAAGAAAATCTGTCCCAGAAGAAACTGGTAACTAACTGGGAGCAAAGCTGCTTGGTCTCTGGATGGTGCCAACAGAACTTCCCACTGGTAACTGATTGGGAGCAAAGTTGTTCGGCCTCTGCGTGGTGCCAACAGAACTTCCCACTGGTAACTGGGAACAAAGCTGATGTGACCTCTGTAACCTTCTGACCTTAGAGCTGTGTGAACATGGAACATATTGATGGAAAACCACTCACTGGTAACGGTATGTCCCTAAGTGCGCTATTGCGATTTACTACTAGCATGTGGAGTACTATTTAATTTTTTGTGTGTGTGGTGGTGGTTTTTTACGAGCAAGAGAGTCAGGGAAATAGTACCCGCAACAGGGTCTTAGTGCCACGATCCATCCCCAGCCGGGCAGCCCTGGATCATGGGCACCCATGACCAGAGTACTCAGGGAGGTCTCTGGATGTGAACAAGGACTTTCCCATGAGTCAGCCTCGCAGAGTTACCGCTGTGCTGCCGTCCAGCCCTCTGAGGTATCATTTCTATGAGCTGGTTGCAAAAGCACCTGGCAAACCAAATGGCTTCTCTGAAACAGCCTGTGATAGTGAGACTCATTCGGCTGCTACTTCCGTTTAGCTCTAGCACTCTCACTAGCACCCTGACAACTTGGTTAGCATGTTTCTTTATCATCAATTTGAAGCTAACTTTTTTCTTTGCCAAGTTATAGGTTAAAATACTTTTACAATGTTGTATCACTCCTTTGAATTTGTAAGTCATCTTTAGCGGCTCAACTAGAGATGTCTAAAAACACTTATTTACCAGTAAAGCAAATCAGATAATGTAAGGAAAACTAATGGAAAGAATTAAAAGAAGTCTTCAAAAAGTTCACAGAGAGGGTCAGCAGGTGGCATGGTGGTTGAGGCACTAGACTCCCACATGGCCAACTGCGGTTCCAGTCCCAGACCTGGAAGCTTGCTTTCTTACTTTCCCTTTCTGTCTCTCTGGTCAAATTAAAAAATAACAACGACAAATAAAATAAATAAATAAATAATTTTTAAAAAAATTCGTGGAGAGCTGGTTCTGTAACACAGTGGTTAAATGTTATGCATTAGACCTAGTTCTACATTGCCAACTGCATTCTGAGTCCCAGCCCCTGTGGCTTGAAAAGCATGCCAGGTGTATACGTGTGAATGCTGAAAAGACTGAAGGGATGGATAAATGGAGGAAAAAGGATTGTGACGTGACCACCCATGCACCCATGCAAGTGGACATGCCCTCTAGTGAGGAAAAAAAAAGCCCTGCGAAAAATGTGTACTATGAAAAAACTTTGGATTTCAAAAACTTTTTGCACCAAAATAAACTTGTATTTCAATTCTTCCAGAAACTTTTTGGTGTTTCCTCATACTTAGCATTGCTATAATCTGACCTTGCTCCACTAAGACTTAACAGTATCTTTCAAGTTTCCCAACTCCCACCTCAATGCAAATGAATTCATCTTTAAATCTCAATCTGCTTCAATAAAATAGGAAGGAATACAAAAAACTTTTGTTACAATGGAGATTCACTAGAATTTGCAACTCCTACTTTCTCTCATCTATGAGAATCAGTGTTAAGTATCTTTTTTAAAAATATATTTTTATTTCAATTTCTTTTATCATTTAATCACACATGTTACTTAGCTTGCAAAGTGAATATTCCATGTATATATTTCTCACCAGTCCAGTTGAGAATACTATACACTTATCCATATCTTTAAAATACCTGAATTCCTCTGAAATTATCTTAGATATTTCTATAAACAAGTGATTACTTTTACTATAGAAGCATCAGACTTGAGAAATAGATAACCTCATCTCAAACCTTCCCACGCTAGGTACATACAAATTTCCTTTGATAAATTATAACATGAAAAGTTTGGCTTCTTTCTAGTCATCTAGAACTTTCAGAAGGTCATCTAGAATTCTTCAAATCCTAACTGCCTTAATTTTTAATAAACTTCCATCTTTAGGTTTTCTAGAGTAAAGCCACTTTAGAAAGCCTACCTGAACTGAAAGAGTCTACCCTGGGATAAGTCATTAACCTATTCATTTATGATTCTATTTCCTATAATCAAGGAAATAAATCAAGTGAAAGCAAAGAAAGAATACTGTTTGTAGGGGGACAGTAGGTGGCATGGTGGTTAAAGCATTGGACTCCCACATGACTGACAGTGGTTCGAGTCTCAGACCTGGTTGCTTGCTTTCTCAATTTCTTTCTCTCTCTGGTCAAATTAAAAAATAATAAATAAAATAAAAAATTATTTAAAAAATACTCTGTGTATAGAAGTGCTAGCAGATCCTTTTAGTTTTCTTAACAGATGTGCGTGAGCAACTACCAAGTCAGCAGGAGCACTTCGGTGGCAGGGACTGGCTTACGAGGCATGCTGGCAAGCCACCTGAGAAGCCCACAGCCTCGCAGCAGACATGTGGACAGACAGGTCAGCACAGTCTGACACATGAGGCAACACCGGGTGCTCGAGAGTCCATTCTATTACTTTACTCCCATCTCTGCCTTGCTCATGGCTTTTTGCAAAGATGTGCCCAAGAAAGCAAGATTTAAAAAAAAAAATGAAAAGAGGAACAAACAACTAATGGAAAGCATGGAACACTTAGGAGGTACACGTTCAGTGGTGTGAGGTGAGCGAGGAGGTTACGGTGCAATGGCCGAGTTCAGACAATGACGGGGCTTGTGTGTGGTTCTGAAGGGGGGGGCGGCCAGAATTCTCGAATCGGCAGCATGTCTAATGGCATGGAGGCAAGAACTGCTGATAGTTCCAGGCGATTTTCAGGTAGGGACTGACAAGAGATGATGCTGGGAGGCACGTGTAAATTACTTTAAAACACTTGAGCAGACACAGTGCACAGCCATGTCTAGGTTAAACTGCAACCAGGCACAACAACCGGATAGGGACAGTCCTGGGTGGTTGCTTAGCACTTGAGTCAGAAGCCGAAAGTTGAGGAGGGGTCACCACAGTGCTTGTGAGCTCCTCACCTCAATCGATACCGGTCATTTTGATAATGAGCATAATGCATGTTAGAAGTGGCTTTCTATCAATAAAATTAATGGCTTATTAAATAGGATGATGAATATTAAAAACGGGTTCTCACTAGTAAAAACAGCATGTATTGGGGCTGGCAGGTGGCATGGTGGTTAAAGGTGTTGGATTCTCACACGGCTGACCACAGTTCAAGCACTGGACCTGGCGGCTCGCTTTCTTCCTTTCCCTGTCTTTCTCTCTCTGTCCAGTCAAATTAAAAAAAAAAAAAGAGTTTAATTAATTTATTAATTAATTATTTTCTTAAACAAACATGTATCCCAGATAGGCGATTTGGTTACACTACTATGGGCACGACTTCCACTCTTCCCTGAACAAGATACAAGAATTGAGCATCACCTGCTGCTTTATCCTGGGCAACAACCCCTAGGCTGTCCCTATGTGGTTTCTGTATCCAGCCTAAACTCCAAGGACTCTGGCTGCCTAATGTTGGCCATACAGGCAGATAAGGAACTCTTGCTCATGGAGTACTGATATGTCTGCCTGGAGGGGTCTGACAGTTCCTGATGACAGTGCTCTGAATTTAGCCAGTTTTGACTAGGGTGGTTTGACTTGAGAGTAAGGAGTCACCAAAGACAGAGACAAGGATGAAAACAGCTCCTGGGCTTTTGGAAAGGACGGTCTGCGAGAGGCTACGTCCCACTGGGCCGTGGAATGGAGGCTTCTGGTCAGGACGGATGTTGAACCCAGGTTACTATAAAAAGGCCACAGTGGAGATGGATAGTAAGAACTTGGGGAGAAGATATGACCATTCAGAAAGACCTTTTATGGTGGTGTTGCTTGTCTGTTTGTGTCCAGCACTATTCTCAGTAGAACTGAGGTCTGAGCTGGCTTTCCAGCCGTGACAGACAAAGGCAATGCTTTCACTTAGGTGCAGAAGCAGCAGTGAGCCATCTGCAGGGACAGCGACAGCTGCATGCTCTGAATAGGGAGTGTCTCAATCAGGACAGGGCTGGAGGAGAATCAGTCTACACTTGGGAAAGGGGGTCTCAAGGACCAAGCAACCCAGCAAAGCACGGCTAGACATTCAGAGGGCTTGAGAAACACCACCAAGCTCAACTGTGATTAAGACAGTGCCTCCAAGGGACAAATGGTCCTTCTAAAACAATACACGGTAGGTAGAAGAAAGTTATTTGCTTCTGACACAGCACAGAATGCAATAGTGAAAATAAAGGAAACTTCAGAATAATTTTGTAAACATTGGGCAAAGTAATAGAAGCACACAGAAAAGAAAGCATCTGAATCACAACTCCTGTTGGTTGTTTTTTTCCCCAAGGAGTAACACTCAAACCTCATAAGAACAACAATACTCATAAAAATGCCTTCTTATAAAATTATTCACAATAGTAAAGTCACAGTATCAACCTAAGTACCCAACAACTGAGGAGCAGATTGGGAAAATACGGTACATATACACAATGGGATTCTACTCAGCTCTAAAGGATGAAAAATCCTGACATTTGCATAAAGTGGATGAACCTAGATGATATGATGCTAAATAAGACAGACTATGAAAGACAAATACTCTATGTCTTTGTTTAACATAAGCCAGATGTCCACACGCTATGGTAGAAGCTGAAGGGCTCGCAAGCATGGAATAGAGGCAACAATGATAGGTATCAGAAGGGGAAGAGGCCATGGCACCTGAGCAAAGTACAAAATATAGACGGTACATATTTCAGAAGCAAAAGAAGCTAGTGGAGCCATTATCAAACGTGCACAACATAACATAATCTTCAACACCAAACATGAACATGTGTATGTCCTTTATTTGGCTAGTATATACTTAGGTATGTTCTGAAAAACCACATGGTACTGGGCCAGCTGGCAGCGTGGTGGTTAAGGCATGGCTGACTGCGTGGCTTGAGTCTTGGATCCTGCAGTTTGAGCCATGCACTGGGCACTGGGCACATGTGCATGAGTACCCAGACTCCTGAGAGAATGGAGGAGAGGGGACTGCAGTGTGGTCATCTTCTTGATGAGAACATTCTCACTTTCCCTTTCTCTCTCCAGCAAGGAGAGATGTCCACCAGCAAAAAAAAAAAAAAAAAAAAAACCAAAACCAAAAAAACAAAAACATACTGTACCTCACAAAGATATACATTGAATATTCATAAACCAGAAATCATAATTTGAAAATTAAAGCAATGAACATAATTATTACAGCTCTAAAAAAGTTTCATTTATCATAAAAGATGGCATTTTGTAAGTGTAAAACCCACAGGTAATTATCAGTTTATGCAAGAAAGTAATAGAAATCCAAGGGGAGTTGGAAGAAGACTAATACCAAATGTGAGAGCAACTGTCCTCCCTCGGAAAAGAGTGTGATTATTTCCCCCCAAGGCCGAGGTGACAGGGACACATGCTCACCTGACAGTCTAGGAGCAGCTTCTGGATGGAGACCCCACTTTCAGGCTTTTGTAGAGTTTTCAGTCTCTCTTCTTGTGCCTCCATCCAGTTGCTCAAAGTCTGGATTTTGTTTTCATTCTCTGCGATACTTTCCAAAAGTTGTTCTAAATGTTGTATCTATAAGTGATGAGTAAAAACATCCTGAAACACTTCTCTTATTTTAAGATATATGCTTTGAAATGAAAATGCCACAATATGTTATTTTTAAAAAGACAATTCTATTTCTTCTCAAATTTCTAATACTTCACAAGTGCCAGGCATGATTTTTAAGCCACCAAGTCCAGGACCTAAGCACTCAAACCTCTTAAGAACAAGATAAAAATATCTTCTTCTAGTATTATTCACAATACTGACATCACAAAATCAACCTAAGTACCCAACAACTAATGAACAGATTGGGAAACTATGGTACTTATACACAACGGAATACTACGGATAGAGGATACACAGGAGTCCAGTGCTTCGACCACTATGCCACCTGCTGCCCACTACTACTAATTTTAAAAAGGCTGCCCAATATTTCATCAGTTGGGGACAGTATAATGTTATTAATTATGCCCTTATAGTTGGAGATTAAGGCATTCTATGTTTTGCCAGTATAAATAATGTTGAATTGAATACTTTGTGTATAGTCCTTTTCTCTTCCTTTTCTCTACCTCAAATAAATGTGTAAGGGGTAGATGCCAGCAGGTGGCATGGTGATTACGGCACTGCATCCCACATGGTTGATGTCACAGTTTGAGTACAAACACTGGGTGCATATACATGCATGCCCAAAGTCTCAAGAAGAGAAAGGAGGAGAAGGGGCTGTTCTTGGCCATTCCACCAGGGGGTGATTCCTCATGTTCCTTATCTCTGTTTCTCTCCAGAGAGTGTACGCACCCTATGGCAAAAATCTAAATAAAGAAAGAATGAAAAGAAAAAGAAATAAGATGATCATTATGGGTCTTTAAATTTTCTGAATGCTTTCCAAGAGAGAACTTAAGTCATTACTAGGAACATATAAATGTGAGAGTTTTGAGCTTTATCCTTATCTTATTAAATATTTCTAACTTAAACTTAACAAGTTTGTAATGCTACATAATGTTGGTTTTTAATGTCTGGTAAGTGCAGTTAGTATCTTTACGTGTTTATTTGCCAACTATAACTTCCTATTTTGTGAACTATCTGCTCATGTTTCTTGCCCATTTGTGTACTTGAATCTTATAGAAGTCCATCAACATGCATTCTCTGCACTGTAAAGGGATCCACTAATTACCAATATTATATATTTTCATTAATTATTTTAGTATTAGATTACATATTAAAGATTTTTCAGAAATGCTTTCTTAATTCTTTTTAAAGCTCCATTTTTAAAGCTTAATTCTTTTTAAAGACTGAAAAAGCTACCAAAATGCCATATGCATTTTTTCTTCCTTTCATAATCTTTTCAAAGCTGAAATAGCTTTGCCCTTTTTGAACATCTACTTTCACAGAAAATACAAAAACCTCTGACCATTTAAGTAGCCTGACACAATACTTGACATCTTCTTAAATAAAAGTTCTTCTCTTCACTTGCCTAACTCACTTTTCCACTAAGAAGTCTCAGTAGAAAGAGAAAAACCATTTTCATACTCTCTTATATGTACCGATGGAGAATGCTAGGATTTATAAAAGGGCTATAATTGAGATGATTATTAGGCTTAACTATAAATCAACTATCTGAACATCTTTTCAAATTTTTTGGAAAGTGGTATTTTACGAGGCCAGCCAAACACCCACTGTGACCCAGGAGCTCACCTTCCTATTCAGTGTTCCGTGCACTCGGTGCCACTGGCGGTTCATCTCCCCCAAGTGCTCTGCAAACTCCGTTCTTTCGTACCGCTTGCTTTCTACATCACCGGTGCTTAACTGAAGCAACGACTGGTTAACAAAGTCAACTACCCACTGTTTGTAGTCCATTTCCATTCGAAATTCCTAAAACAAACAAGCAAAGCCCAACACTCAAGAGCCTGGACAGGAGTTGGTGAGATGAACTGGATTTCTCCCTTCACGCACTTGGAGGGGGCACTGAGCTCCTACCCACTACTCAAGGGACACCAGTGGGAGTCAGAGCCCACCCTCCCCAGCCCTCAGCCCTCATGAAGGGTCTCCTTTGAGTGGAGATTCTTTTAAAGAATCTTAGATTCCTAGGAACAGAGAGACTCACTGCTTTCCAAAGACTGATAAAGCAAAAGGAGCAGCATGAATAGTGGCTTCTACCACCTGAACTGGTATCAGGACGAGGGGAGTCTTGTGAGCAGCAGAACACAACAACGAAGAGTTCTTTATTTTTTTTTAAAGATTTATTTATTTTTAATTATATTTACTATCATTATTCTTAAATTTTGGCCAGAGAGAGACAGACAGAGAGAAAGGGAGAGTGAGAAAGCAAGCTGCCAGGTCCAGGACTTGAACCATGGTCAGCCATGTGGGAGTCCAGCACCTCAACCACACCACCTGCCAGCCCCAGCAATAAAGAGTTCTTGTGAGCAGTTACTTGAGAACCATGTGGGAATTCTGGGCCATCCCGAAGGCTCATGGAACCAACCAGATGGAAAATAGGTACTTGCAGAATAGCTCACCTTCCTATTCAGTGTTCCGTGCACTCGGTGCCACTGGCGGTTCATCTCCCCCAAGTGCTCTGCAAACTCCGTTCTTTCGTACCGCTTGCTTTCTACATCACCGGTGCTTAACTGAAGCAACGACTGGTTAACAAAGTCAACTACCCACTGTTTGTAGTCCATTTCCATTCGAAATTCCTAAAACAAACAAGCAAAGCCCAACACTCAAGAGCCTGGACAGGAGTTGGTGAGATGAACTGGATTTCTCCCTTCACGCACTTGGAGGGGGCACTGAGCTCCTACCCACTACTCAAGGGACACCAGTGGGAGTCAGAGCCCACCCTCCCCAGCCCTCAGCCCTCATGAAGGGTCTCCTTTGAGTGGAGATTCTTTTAAAGAATCTTAGATTCCTAGGAACAGAGAGACTCACTGCTTTCCAAAGACTGATAAAGCAAAAGGAGCAGCATGAATAGTGGCTTCTACCACCTGAACTGGTATCAGGACGAGGGGAGTCTTGTGAGCAGCAGAACACAACAACGAAGAGTTCTTTATTTTTTTTTAAAGATTTATTTATTTTTAATTATATTTACTATCATTATTCTTAAATTTTGGCCAGAGAGAGACAGACAGAGAGAAAGGGAGAGTGAGAAAGCAAGCTGCCAGGTCCAGGACTTGAACCATGGTCAGCCATGTGGGAGTCCAGCACCTCAACCACACCACCTGCCAGCCCCAGCAATAAAGAGTTCTTGTGAGCAGTTACTTGAGAACCATGTGGGAATTCTGGGCCATCCCGAAGGCTCATGGAACCAACCAGATGGAAAATAGGTACTTGCAGAATACCCAGCATACCTTTAAGGAACTTTGCCAATTTGGGCAGCTCCTCTGTTCTGTTGGGGACAGGCTTTGCCTCACAGGACAGTTTGGGTGACTAAGTTCTACAGCAATCCTAAAATCACCCAGGGACAATCATGTTTCTGTCAAGCCTATTACTTGTTGAGTTTTATCCTGCCATCTTTTAGCAACCCCTTTAGAGATGTCTGGGGAAAACACATGGTATATGGTAGATTAGTAGAGCCTGTGAGAATATATTGTAGACATGTGGCTCATTTAAAGATTCTACAACTCACCAAAGTTAGCATGTGGCATATAAAAACAAAATCATCTGCTAATCATGCTTGGTGGCTAACCAATCATTTGCTGTCTACCAGAGGCTAGTTCCACCAGCCTGCAAGACCTTTGGAAGCCTTGGACCAGGCTTGGCATTTGTCTGTCTTCCCAGTGGCCAGCACAAATGCTCATGTGTGGCTGGTTAAGTGCTAATGAAATCTACTCAAAATTGAACATCACGGGGAAGGCCATATTCACGTCTGTTTGTAGAAAGACACCAATTCTTTCTCTAACTCAGAAAACATTAACACCTACTAGATGCCAGGTATTGCTTCGAGTAGGCTGTCTAATGGAGCTGAACGAAACCGCTTGCTCTCAAGAAGCTCCGTCAAGATAGGAAGAAGGGCAAGTAAACAATAATTACAACGCGGTGTGAAAGGAACTACTCATAGCATCATGGAGACATCTAATCCAAGAAAGTAGTCTAACTGGACCAGGAGAGTCAGGGATTGACTTCCAAATGAGGGGACACTTGAGTTGACTCTCAAGGGATTTATAGAGCTCAAAGGGGCTGTGTGGTATTTTAGGCTGAAGGTGTGACATGTACATAAACATGAGGAGTAAAGTACCAGGATCAGGTGAGGGATCAGAAAGTGTTGGTCCAGGTCAGCCTTCGAGTCTAGTGGTTAAGAGAAATGAATCCCACATGCTGACTGTGGTTCAAATCCCAACTCTGATGGCTTGAAAAACACATCAGGCACGTGTATGTGTGTGCAGGCACGTGCATGCCCCAACCCCAAAAGAATGGGGAAACAGGCGAGAAGGGATTGCAATAACTACACCCTAGTGGGGATGCTTTCTCCTTTTCTGTCAAGCACTCATGGCCTCTGGCTGCCTTTTTTGGACTTTCCTTCCTCAAACTTCTTCTCCCATCATAAAGATGAGCCAAAAACACATTGGGTATCTGGTAATTTACAGAACAGGGATGATAGTAACTTAAACAAAAAAAAAAAAAAAAAAAAAAGGAAAGAAAGAAAGAAAAAGAAAATCACTGTCTAGACTAAGACAAGGGTTTATGTGGGGGGCAAGAAAAGGAGTTAAAGAGAAAAACTTAGATTATCCTGCAGAGATGGGAGCTACCAAAAGAATGTAAGTGGAATAAGTATACTTACCGCCCTAGAATTATCCACCATTCCCAACCCCGGAATTAGTTTTTCTAAATTAAATACTACAAGTCTCTTTGTTCAGCTTTTCCCTCCAACTGATGTGCCTACTTAATGAAAAGACTTTTGCTCCTTTTGGATAATTACCTTGTACTTCTGAAGAAGATTTTTAACTTGGGCTGCAGAACTTGGGGCCTGCACAGAGTCTCCATCAGCAGTCTGATGTTCCACATTGTTCATCCAGCTAATCATTTCCGTGATTGCTTTACGAGATGGTAATTTCTCCATCTGAAGCTGCAAGGACAAAATGATTTCCATTTAATTACCTGCAGTTAACAAAATGAATCAGGGCATCACTAAAGATGATATCTGGTTTGATAAAAGGTCTTGCTACATAATTATGCAGGTTATGCACAAAAACAAACCCAGCATTCAAACTCAGAATAAGCGACCCCCAAACAATGACAATGACCTTCACATAAACTAACACTGTAGCTCAGTAAACTGAGAAATAAAGTAATTAAGCCTGATTTCTCTCTTAAGAAAGATCCCACTGAGGAGAGTCCAGTAATTAAGACCTATATTCAGTGGTGCCAGAGAAAAATAGGTAGTGTCAATGAAAATTATTGAGTCAGAGAAATAATTTTAAAAGAGTTGGGAGCTAACAAGTGGATGCTAATTCAAACACTGGGTCTTTAAATACTTACCTGGTGAAGTTTTTCTTGAATATCTGGAAGCTGAGTTATGAGCAACGTCCATTTTTGCTCAAACTGTGCTAATGAAGCTCTCAGCGTGGCGGTGTCTGCTTCTTTCAGGTGAAGGAGTTGGTTCCCAGTACTTATAACTGCAGTCTTCAAGGAGGACTTTTCATCAACTTCCTTTGAAAACTCCTAAAGGAGAGTTTTAAAATGTATAAGCTTTTAACATTTAAACATGGCATAGAGTAATTGAGAGTTGAAAAACTGCTCAGAGTCCAAAATGAAATATAGGAAATCAAAGCGATCTTGGAAAAGTTCATGGGAAATGCATGTTGCAAAAAATCAGGCACAAATTTCAAAATTGTTTTTTCACCAAAATAAACGTATACTTTAATTTCTTCTCTTTCTCTCTCTCCTCCCTTCCTGCTTCTCTCTCTCTCTCTCTCTCTCTCTCTCTCTCTGTTGCAAAAGGGCACATGCACTTGCCAGAGAGAAATCGGGAGAATGCGCTCCCTAATGGGGCACAGGCATGTAGCAATCCGTTCTCTTTTCTGGGATTTGGGGGTGTACACACATGTGCCAGGTAGGTTTTTTAAACTCTCAGAGCTGAAATTTAAATTGCAGTTGGCCATGTGGGATCTGACTCGCTTAACTACCAATCTGTGGGGTTGGCCCTAATTCCACTTTTCCATGAACTCTGAAGTCCCTCATATTTGAATATGCCTGTGTACACACACACGCACTTCTCCTTCCACACATCAGATATACAGTGGCAAACAGAAGGAATTCTTGCCCTGCAAAAAGCTTCTAGCCTAGTGGATTAATATTTTAAAAAATAGATAAGTAATTTATTTCACTGGTAAGTATTATAGGAAATTAAAGAATATGACAGAGTTCATATAAAATGACCAATTTGCAACAAATTTTAATTAAAATATTTAAGATCTTTGCTATATATTTAAGGATTCTCTCAAGTATGTTTTAAGATTTTCACATTTAATACCAAAGTAAGTTGCCATGGCCACAAAATATGGAAATTTGAAAAAAGAGAAAAGATCAGGAAAAAAGACTAGAGTTTTGTGAGTACAATTTATACTACATAAATAATACCTTTTTAAAAAATTCTAAAAACAATAAAGGCTTTTCAGTAGATATATCAATTCTGTATGTAACAATTAAAACCATGCATTTGTTAACTTTAAATATTTATGAATTAATAATCCTATAAGGTTGTCCTAGGAGGGTTTTTTGGGGGGATGGGGTGGGGTGGGTTTCTGCACTTGTGAAACATATCCTATTTCAAAACAAGTTATAAATCTATATTTATTTTATCAAGTCAATTAAAAATATACTTTATCATTATAAATACATAAGAGAATTATATGAACAAATTGTTTTACGTTAGAACATAGCTACTCTTAGTCCGAGTCTTGCCCCATATCCACAAATGAATACACAGACTATCACATCATCCCTGATACTCTTCCCTTGACAGTTATTTCTGACCATTAATTATCTGAGCATATTCTATTGTAACTTACAAAAAATGTGTTTATGTTGCTTCTGATTGTGTCCAGGTCCTGAGACACGTTGAGAGACTGTTCTTTCCAGTAATTCAGAGTTTGCTGAGAAGACTCCAACCACTTGGTTAACTCATCTGAATCTCTGTTAAAACTAACAGGAGCAAAGCAAGAGAGAATGGAAATCAGAAATGAACTCTGATGACGCTATGCATCGCTGGCACAGTTCCTCATTTTACAGTTTATTTTCCTGTGTTGATCAGCCCTGTCATTCAGAAAATCATAATGTTTACAAAAAATCATACCACTTTTCCCCTTTAATTTGTCATAGGACATATGCACCTGCTGGAGAAGAGAGAGGAGAGAGAAACTGAAAAAGCACCCCCCAAGGGAGGGTAGTCACACCATGATCTCTCCTCTATTGTCCCCTCAAGATTCTGAGTACACATGTACATACCCCCAGAATCTTTCAAGCCATCAGGTCCAGGACTGGAACAGCATAGTTTTGTGAAACATATCCTATTTCAAAACAAGTTATAAATCTATATTTATTTTATCAAGTCAATTAAAAATATACTTTATCATTATAAATACATAAGAGAATTATATGAACAAATTGTTTTACGTTAGAACATAGCTACTCTTAGTCCGAGTCTTGCCCCATATCCACAAATGAATACACAGACTATCACATCATCCCTGATACTCTTCCCTTGACAGTTATTTCTGACCATTAATTATCTGAGCATATTCTATTGTAACTTACAAAAAATGTGTTTATGTTGCTTCTGATTGTGTCCAGGTCCTGAGACACGTTGAGAGACTGTTCTTTCCAGTAATTCAGAGTTTGCTGAGAAGACTCCAACCACTTGGTTAACTCATCTGAATCTCTGTTAAAACTAACAGGAGCAAAGCAAGAGAGAATGGAAATCAGAAATGAACTCTGATGACGCTATGCATCGCTGGCACAGTTCCTCATTTTACAGTTTATTTTCCTGTGTTGATCAGCCCTGTCATTCAGAAAATCATAATGTTTACAAAAAATCATACCACTTTTCCCCTTTAATTTGTCATAGGACATATGCACCTGCTGGAGAAGAGAGAGGAGAGAGAAACTGAAAAAGCACCCCCCAAGGGAGGGTAGTCACACCATGATCTCTCCTCTATTGTCCCCTCAAGATTCTGAGTACACATGTACATACCCCCAGAATCTTTCAAGCCATCAGGTCCAGGACTGGAACAGCATAGTTGGCCATGTGGGATCCAGTCGCCCCAACCACCTGCTGCCTCAGAATCATACACACGCACACATACACACACGTTGGTTGCTACAGTGTATGTACCTGCTAGAGACAGACAGGGGGCTGCGGGAAGTGAGAAATCACTACGGGGGGGCATCGCTACACCACAAATCCTTCTTCTCTCAGAATTCTGGGCATGCATGCACACATGCCTGGCCTGTTTTCAAGCCATGGATCAGGGACTCGAACTGTGCGGTCAACTCTGTGGAATCCAGCCACTTAACTACCATGCTGGCCCAATCATTTCATTTTTATGCCATGTTCCAAATCTGATGCTCAGGCATTTTTGAGGCCACTCTCCTTTATGACTAGTCAAGAACAAACAGGCATTTAAAAGTCTAAATAGTTTTTTTAAATTTCTTATTACAACACAAAAGTATGATCATAGGTAAAGACAGAGATGATTTTTATTAATCAAATGTTCATTATAAATACATTTATAGTCAAATCACAACAGTACTTATTTAAATTATATAACTGCAGACTGCCATTGGCTGGATGCCAACATTTTTATCTGTTTTGATGAAACTATCCAAACAGGGACCAGTAGTTGGCTTAATGGCTATGCCACTGGACTCCCATGTAGTCGACCATGGTTCGAGTCCTGAACCTGGTGGCTTAAACTCACGCCAGATGCATGTGAGTGCATGTCCAAGATCCCGAGAGGAGAATGAAGGAGAAAGGATTGCATTGTGGCCATCCCCCCTGGGGGGTGACTTCTCGCTTTCTGTCTCTGTCTTTCTGGTGAGCACACACACCCTATAGCAACAACCTTTCCAAAAAAGAAAGAAAGGAAAGAAAGAAAGAAACAAAGAAAGAAAGAAGAGAAGAAAAGAGAAGAAAAGAGGAAAAAGAAAAGAAATATCTAAAGAAAATGCTGACTTCCTTATAACTTTTCAACTTCTTAAGGCTAAGACAACCCTTTGAAAGGTAGGGATGAAAATGAGACTTAAGTAAGTTCTGTGTTCTATACCTTCTTCAAGTGGTTCAAGATTATACTAACGGGGGCTGGTAGGTGACGTGGCAGTTAAGGGTGCTGGACTCCCACATGACTGCAGTTTGAGTCCTGGACCTGGCAACTTGCTTTCTCACTTTCTGTCTCTCTCTCTCTCTCTCGCTCTGTTCTTCTCTGGTAAAATTTTTAAAAATAATAAAGTTAAAAAAAAAAGATTATACTAAGAAAAAAGTTCTCTGAGGAACTCAAAAGATGTTTTCCAAACTACTCTATTAGCTACAAATTATTTTTCTTAAATTTTAAAACATTTGGAAGAGGGCAGGAAAGAGCAACATCATGGTTTAAAGGTAACATGAATTATTTTATAACCTAAGTCCTAATTTCCATAGAAACGTGCAAACACTCCCAGCAAACTCAATACCTAGTGTCCCGTGTTCAATGAACCAGCGTCAGAGACTCTAGATCCCATTTAGTCCAGAAAAGGAACTTAATTGCTTTAGACTCTCAAAGACAAACAGTTCAACGAGGGGGACTGCATGGCAGCTTTGGTTGGCTACAGAAGCCCCCGGAAGCCTTTCTCCAGGACTGTGTGAAGTTAGAAGCCGGCCAACCCCCGAGAGCATGCACCTGAGCAGATACTTGAGCAGCGTGTGCAGCCTGTGCAGCTCATGGTCGATCTTCTTGTTCAGGGACAACCACTGCTCTTCCAGCTTGGCGATCTGGCTCTCCAGTTCAGGGCAGCTCACAGACGCCGTCAGCTGTTTGCCTTCGTTCAGAGTTTGGTAGAGCCGGGCATGCTTCCCATCAATGTTGCTTTTTATTTGCTAATAAAAGTAAAGTCACAGAATAAGTTATTTAAAAAATCAAATCTGTCAACTTATTCACAAGTATTTCATCTAAAAACCTATCGAAGGGCCCGGCAGCTGGCGCGATGGTTAAAGGCAGTGCATTTCCACATGGTTGAACATGGTTCGAGTCCCAGAACTGACGGTTTGCTTTCTTACTCTCCTCCCTTCCCCCTGGTCAAAATTAAAATAAATAAATTTAATGAAAAAAAACCTATCAGAGGTGACTGAAGAAACATGAGCCCTTTTTTCCCTTTAGAATTATTTATTTATTTAATTCCATTTGTTATTATTATTATTTTTAATTTGACCAGGCAGAAACAGAGAGAGAGAGAGAGAAAAAAAAAAAAAAAAAGGAAAAGGGAAAATTTTTTAAAAAAAAAAAAAAGGGAAAGCGAGAAAGTAAGCCACCAGGTCCGGGACTTGAATCACAGTCGGTCATGTGGGAATCCAGTACCTTTAACCACCGTGCCACCTACTGGCCCCAAAACATGAACACTTTCTCAACCCTCAAGACTAGAGTCTGGACAAGCATGGTTAATAGTGTATTGATCACCTTCCTTAAGGCATTTTTTCTTTCTTTTTTTTTTTCTTTCTTTTCACTCCTCCATTCCTCTCTTCTTTCCTTTCTTTTTTAATGAAAAAAAAAAAAAACACAACAGAAGGAAGAGAGTGTGGAAGGGAGGGAGAGAGAAGGCATGTGAGTGTCCACACATTCAAGAGAGGATAGGTGGGAAGGAATTTTCGACAAGGCCTCTCTACTAGCTAATGCCTCCATCTAAAAATAAAATAAAAACAAGCTGGCAGCCTATAGGCCACATTCAGCTTGTAAACTGAGTTCATGTAACCTAAGGATTATTTTAAGAATCAGGAAGTTTTAGCTAGAAATCACAAATTTCCTGTGTTTATGGGAAAACTGGAAGATCTAACAATTGTGGGTCTACACTACCATGCGGCAAAGCAAACAAACGGAGCAGTAATGGCTCTTTCAGAAAAGCCTACTCCCTTCAGCTCTCCTCCCATCTCCTTCCCACACCCGAAAACACACCAGCCAGCAGCCCTTACTTCCATTCCCCTGCCTGGTCCGGGAAGCATTTCAGGTTACCACTTAGATACGAAGGGAATAAATAAATCATTTATCAGTCCATTAGATGCAAAAACTAGGATTTCTAAAGTCTTCTGAATGTAAGATTCAATACAGAAAAAGAGAGAGAACTTTAGAAGAATAAGTTAGAAGAGACAGCACATCATTAATCTAACGTCATGACATAAAATTCTTCAAAATTCCCTGAAGAGAAGTCTGTCTAGAGGCAATTATCTTCCACAGTTGGGTTCACCTATACCATTCTCCTGACAGCTGTTTAAAATAACCTATCACAGAATTTCTGCCATTTTCCAACTAACCTATGCCTTATAAAAATGACCAGAATACTCCATTTACAATGTCTTTCCTACCATTCCCATTTGTAATCCTTGAGCCCACCTGCTAGAATAAAATGTCCAAGATGAGTTTTAAATAAAAGTTCCAGAACTGGGCATGGGTGACACATGCCTGAAATTCCTGGAAGGCTGAGCAAGGAGGGCTGCAAGTTCTGGCCAGTCCAGGCAACATAGCAAGACCCTGTCTCGAAAACGAACAAAGAAAGAAACAAGTTCTAGGCACTGCTGCCTAATGCGAGGGCCACGTGGGGGACTGGGTTCAGTTTCTGGACTAGGCCTGGCATGGTGGTGGGCACCTGTAATCCTAGAAACTGGGTGGTGGGGGCAGAGAATCACACTACAGACTGTGAAAAGTAACGGTTCTCTCTCTGTCCCTCTCCCTCCTCATGCAACCTCTTTCTCTTATTTTAAAAAAAATCTATTAATTTTTTTTAACCTTTACCTGCTAGACATGCCATCTTTGCAACTCTAAGAAGTTTTGATTTCTACATTTTTTTTTACACAGATTGTACGTTTGTCACTGGATCTAGGAGGTGCTTTGCCTGCATCTGAACCTGGGTTTGAGTTCAGAGGCCACACAACTGACCCCATTCCATGGCTCACAGGCATCCACTGGTCATGATGGCAACAACCAACAGACACACACCAACTTCATGACTCTGAAGACAGAATGGCCTAAATACATGAGGTAAGCTTTATGAGATGTGTCTTCTTTTAGTCTGGCACTTTATTTAAAAGTACTAGAACAATTATTTCTTTTTTAATGTCAAATTTAAGAGAATTACACACATTTTAAGGAACACAGTCACTTTTAGGGGAAATAATCATTAGTATTAGGTTAGTTAATACTAGATTATTTCTTTTTTTAAAAAGAATTATTTATTTTATTCCATTTGTTATTATTATTATTTTTAATTTGACCAGAGACAGAGAAAGAAAGGGAAAGTAAGAAAGCAAGCCACCAGGTCCAGGACTCGAATCATGGTCAGCTATGTGGGAATCCAGCACCTTTAACCACCATGCCACCTGCTGGCTCCAATACTAGACAATTTCTTTCTTTCCTTTTTTTTTTTTTTTTTTGGAGAGGTTTTCCCTATAGTGCGCATGCACTCGCCAGATAGAGAGAGACATAGAGACAGAAAGCGAGAAATCACCCCCCAGGGGGGGATGGTCACGCCGCAATCCCTTCTCCTCCATTCTCCTCTCGGGATCTTGGGCACGCACGCACACGCGCCTGGCGTGAGTTTTAAGCCACCAGGTCTGGGACGTGAACCGTGGTTGACTATGTGGGAGTCCAGCGACATAGCCATTATGCTAACTGCTGGTTCCCTAGACAATTTCTTAATATAATGAGTTCAAAATACATTTTTTTTTAAGTTTGTTACAGGATACACGTGCTCGCCAGGGTGGTGGGGATTGAGAAAGGATGCCTGGGGGAAATGGTCACCTAGCAATCCCTTCTCCTCCACTCTCCTCTCTGGATTTTTAGGCACACATATGTGCCCAGCATGATTTTACAAGTTCTGGGTCTGGGACTCAAACCACATAGCCATGTGGGATCCAGCTGCCTTCACTGTGCTGACAGCTGGCCCTAAAATACTATTTTCAGCAGCACCCTTTCAGCTGTTGAGATGCTACCTTCTATTTTTCTGGACTAAAAGAATTAAACGACTCCTTTGCTCTCACTCAGCTCCAGAGGACCCCATTTTACCTTAGACTCAATATATTAGCATGTCATGAAAATCATGATGTATTTTTCTATGTTTTTCCATGCAAAAATGTCATGACTTTCCCCATGACCCAATAAAACAATGGTAACAAGACCAATTAGAGCTTTCCAGGCTTCTAAAGAGTCTAAATACGGTGTTCTAAAAATCTAAATACAGCCCTCTAACAAACGTTCCTCAGAGGGGCTAAAATGCCTCCAAGGAAAGCAGGGCCCTGCCAAGGGTTTTTTGCCTCATTTTTTTATTCAGGCAATAAACCAGCTTTTGAAGTTTAAGGTTGACCTTGGATAATTACTATTGGCTGCCCAACGCAGTTTCTGACTATGTGTATTTTAAAGTTAAAAATAAGCAGGTTAAGTTTCTGAGGAGAAGATTTAAAACTTGTTTTTTACATTCTTAGTCATGTTCTCAATGCCACTTGAAAATCATTTTAAGGTTTTATCTTTTCTGCGGCATCAAAATTGGAGATGCCAAGACTCTGACAGCAACGTTACCAAGAATTACACTTGGAAAACTTAAGTCTCCAGTCTTTTTATAATGTGGGTGGTAGGCAACAGATCACTGTCTAGAGACGAGTTTCATCAGGGCTTTATTGTGGTAATAAAATTCTATGTTCTGATTCATGTTTAGTGTGGCAATGAGCATCTGCTTAGAGGCCCATGGCTTATCAAGTTAGTTCCATTCTCCAGTTTCTCTCCATGCTAGGAGCTCGTGGACATCCACCTCCTGACAGGCAGGACTAACGTGGGTAATGCATTCTATAGACAGAGAAGCCGAGACTTGGAGACTGGAAAGCAACGAAAATGTGTGACAGAAGCAGAACTCAGACTAAGGCCTCCAACCTCAAGCCCAACACGTGGTCATGCTGAGGAACTCCGTCAAATCTGCAGTCTCTCGGAATGCACCTAATGAGCTGTGTGATGAACAATGCCGCGTTTTGATGAAAATCATTCACCCTCTAAACCAAACGCCGTAGCCAAAACATACACGACATGAGAAACCAAGACCATGTCTTTGACAGTGTAAATGGAAACAAAATACCTGGTAAAACGAAATCCTTTCCACTAATCTTTCCTCGGTCTCTTCCACCAAACTCACAGAGGGCAATGTAGATAAGAGAGTTTCCAGATCCTTTTCAAGAGATGCATAGTTTTCATCAAATTCTTCCCATTTCTGGAGAATCAAACACACAGAATCAGTGGGAGCCTCTTTCTAGATTGGTTCCACACAATGAAAACAAAAATGAGGGCTGGGTCTCCCTCTACAACCTCTTCACATGAACATAATCAGAGGCTGGCTGACGTTGGAGTGTTCTTGGGGGTGCTGTCTCTGCTTGCCTGTCTCTCTCTTGCTCGTGGAAAAAGTAAACTTGTAAAAAAGAATGGTGAGACCATTCTCCAGCTGTTTTTGAGAGATGTAACCCACCCCTAATAAGAGCTCAACTTCTAATGGAAAATAATTCCATTGGCTTTGAAGTTAAGTTTGAAAACACCCAATTGGTGGGGCCAGCAGGTGGTATGGTGGTTAAGATGGTGGATCCCCACAAGGCCAACTGCTATTCAAATCCTACACCCAGTGGCTTAAAAATCAGACTGCTCACCGGGCATATGCACATGCATATCCAAATCCTGAGAGGATAATGGAGAAGGGACTGTGGCATGGCCATGCTCCCAGGGGGTGATTTCTCACTGTCTGTCTGTCTCTGTCTTTCTAGTGAGTGCACTCTCTATAGCAAAAATCTCTCTTTAAAAAAAAAAAAAATCACACTGGGCACGTTTGCATGCGTGCCTAAGATCCCAAGAGAATAATGGAGGACAAGGAACTGTGAGGTGGCCATCGCCCCAGGGGGTAATTTCTCACTTTCCCTCTGTCTCTCTCCAGCAAGCACAAAGAAGCTTTTCCTGATGGTGACCAAAAAAAAAATTGTTCATTCAGGAAGTAACAGTTAGAACTAGACATAAGTTCTACATTCTTCATTATTATGTTTCAGTTTAACTACAGCTTAATGATAACTAGATACTTGTCAATACTTGGAGGTTGTGGTGGAAAAGCAGGAATTCCCAGTTTAAGTATCAAGTTTCTATAACCCAAATACCTGCAACAAATTCTGCAGCTTCATGCCATGCTGAAGGGACTTTTCTTCCAGTAATTTAACTTCTTTTACTTGCTCTGCCCAGAATGCCTCTCTCTTTTGCAATAAAGAAGGAAACATTTTGGTGGAGTAAGTTTGAATCAATAACATATCAGCAACAAGCTTCTGGAAAAAAACCTGTAAGGTGGAAAAGATTTTTAATTTTCATTTTTAAACATCTTAAAAACCAAATTACTTCCATTTTTATCCATGTATTTTTATTTTTGAATCCAAAAGTCTAAGACATCCATATAAAGCCAAATGTACCAGAAAACACAAAGATAAGGGAAGTGAATCCCTTACTCTTTGAAGACTCAAGAAACGTGAAAAAATTATAAAGAAATATTATACTCAATATTTTCCACAAAACAACTCATTTAAAGTGGCAAACGTTATTGTTTCAATTTCTGGACTGACTTTCTCAATCAGTTATTTTGAGTCTTATTACACAAAGGTAGATGTCACAGTGGCTGATTAATTTCAGGAGAGTAAGGTGAAAGGAGAGATGTGGACACCCAAGCAGCCCACATAATCCACAGCCAGGGCTCCTACACCGTGGCTTTTCTACTCAATAAAACGGCTTTTAAAAATGAAAAGAAAGGGGGACCAGCAGTTGGTATAATGGCTATGTCGCTGGACTCCCACGTAGTCGACTG